CTGCTGTACTGACGTTTGGATTGAAAATTGATTTCTTTTATAAACCCTATCTGTCACGGAGAAGTGGGTCTAACAGATCCAGTATGTGGAGGGATTGGGTTAACTATAGACCTAATGATCCCTAGTATAAATAGGTCTTTTTCCTACACTAGTTACCACTTAGAACTTAGACCTTAGATCATCTGAATACACTACTATCTGATCGCTTCTATGAGAAAGCACTGGTTTCCACCTTCCACAAGATCACTCTCCACATCTCCGCGAGACTATCTCATGTGACCGTAATAACCCTCTAGACGTGTTTAGTTGTACAACTAGCCCAACTAGCCTGTCCTTATGACCGAGCTATTTCGAATTCAGCCATATACCAATTCTGGATGGCCTTAGTATCTCCAGTGATAGCCACCGTGTCGTATTTATCCCTTTCCTGCTTCGCCACAGTACCATTATTTACCATACGACCAGCCCACTTGCCATGTTTCCGCGCAGCCGCTACGATCTTGTCGACAGCGGCGACAAACTCTGGCTCGTCTCCCCTCGCTGGTACGTATCCAAGTAGAGACTGCGCAAGATCGTTGGGACCGATGAAAACGAGGTCTACACCGGGCACGGCGCAGATGGCATCTACGTTCTCAACACCTGCCCGAGTCTCTATTTGCACCATAGTGATGATGGTCTCGTTAGCGGACTTCATGTACTCCGGCGTGGTGAGACCATGTCCAATGGCGGGGAAAGCTGATCCTTGACCCCGGACACCCTGGGGCGGAAACTTGGCTGACGCGACAACTTGCGCCGCCTCCTCGGCGTTGTTGACTTGTGGCACCATGATGCCGTGGGCACCAGTGTCTAGGGCCCGCTTGATAATATCATGGGTAGGCCCACGGATACGTATGATGGGCGAGACGCCAAGTGCCGAGATGGCGGCGACCGAATTGTGCATAGAGTCATCTCCAATATGGCCGTGCTCACAATCAATGATAATGCCATCAAGCCCCGTCAATGCAACTATTTGAGCCTGGCGCACTGAGGGAATAGCAACAAAAGTCATCAAAGGGTATTTCCCGGCCTTGAGCTTGTTGAGTAGCCGTAACCGAGAGTTCTGAATGTTGGTAGTCTGAGGTGTGCGATAAGTGGTAGTAGGGGCTGCCATGTTGAGTATAGACTATGGCTTTCTGAGATGATTCGGACAACAAGATTGACTAGCTTGAACAGGAACGACTATTGAGTAAGATGCGTGTCAGGTGGAATACGGTAGTGATAGCAAGGATTATTCTAGATATCCGGTTAGAGCCTTTATCAGTACGTTCACTTGAGAAGACATGAGTTCAAGTACTATATACAGGATTCCTAGAGCTTGTCCAGTGTCTCGACTTACACCATAATCCCGACTAATGTTCTAGCTCACAGGGAGGACTCGGAGGAGCTCCTCCAAGCATCTATCTTCCAACAGACGGCCAATCATAGCGTATAAGCTAATATCTACTAAACCCTGATCCTCCAGCCGCGTTGTGGAGCCGATAACCACATGCTATCGCTCCTGGTCCCAACGTCAAATGGCCCGGATCCATTTGTTGTGTGGGGTTGCTGATATCGAATTGCCGTATCTTGGTCCGTTATGGGGAATTGGCCCCGTGTTGAACAGACATGCTTCGAGAACCATGCGGTAGCGAACGACCAATAGAACGAGGCCTAATGACTTATCATCCCTTTTGGTAACTTCGGTTTCCACTATATTCAATGGCAATAGATGGACAATAAAGGCAACATAATTCCTCTTGGATACTTCCATCGTACGAGTAGCTTGATCATAGACCTACCTGAATTACCTACTACTTCAACATAGCCATACAATCACAACATTCCGGTCTGCAACCGGGCACAATCGAGGTCAAATGGCCCCAACACCGACAGTCAGCTCTCAGGATGACGAGCCTAAAGTGCAGGCGTCCATCAGTGACGACAATGTGTCGGCTGCCGAAGGCCAGTTTGATGTTGTCGGAGCCAATTTCGACTCTCGCCCCGAGGCCCTTCAAGCCCTGACCCGAGAGGAAGTGGAGCTTCTGAACAAGAAACTTGTACGCAAGATCGACCTCGTGATTCTTCCTATTATCGGTCTATTATATATCTTGAACTACATCGACCGACAAAATCTAGCGGCGGCGAAGTTGCAAGGCATTTTGGAGGATCTGCATCTATCAACCCAACAGTTTGCCACTGCTGTCTCGATCCTCTTTGTCGGATACCTACCCTTCCAGATTCCGAGCAACCTCCTAATCACCAAGATATCTCGGCCTGGCCTCTACATTTGTACTGCCGCCCTTATCTGGGGAGCAATATCCGCCGTCACGGCGACTGTGAAGAATTATCAGCAACTTCTCGCCGTCAGGGCTATTCTCGGCATTGTAGAAGCTGTATTCTTCCCTGGCGCGATCTACTACCTTTCCGCCTGGTACACCAAGACGGAACTTGGGAAGCGTATTGCCGGTCTCTACATTGCACAGCAAGTTGGTAACGCTTTCGGAGGCCTGTTTGCTGCTGCCATCCTGAAACTCAACGGAGCCCACGGCATCGCTGGCTGGCAATGGCTTTTCATTATTGAGGGTAGCGCAACGGTTGGGGTTGCCTCCATATGTGTTTTCCTCATGCCCGAGTTCCCCCACAATAGCCGCATCTTATCTGACACTGAACGAGCACTTGCTGTTTGGCGTATTGAATCTGAAGCTGGTGCAGCTGAAGGTACGGAGAAGGAGAGTGTTCTCCGCGGGTTCGCCCAGGCATTGTCTGACCCCAAGCTCTGGCTTCTCATCTTCTGCAACCTGCTGTCGCAAGCGCAAGGGTCGATCGCCAACTACTTCCCCACAATCGTTGCTTCTCTGGGTTTCAATAACACCATCAGTTTACTTCTAACAGCGCCACCTTACGTACTAGCTGGATTCGTTTACTACGGTCTCATGTTTTACTCTGATCGGAAAAACACAGCCTACCCTATCATCGTCGGTTGCATCTCACTTTCTATTGTCTTGTACATCATTCTCTTGACAATCCATAATATTGGCGCGCTATACTTCGCTATGCTTCTCTTGCCTTTTGCTTCCGTTGGTCCTCAACTACTTATGTATAAGACGATAAGCTTACATTTGGCGCGGCCAATTTCGAAGCGAGCCGTGGCCTCAGCGCTAGTCAATGCTTTGGGAGGAACCTCTAATATCTGGTCTTCGTACCTGTATTACGATTCTCCACGCTTCTACGCCGCCTTTGGAACTTTGGCGGGTGCTGCGGTTTTGTTCGCTGCCACCATCACTTTCTATCGATGGCTTGTCAGGCGCGAGAACAAACGTTTGGATTCGGGTGACCCCCAGAAAATTGAAAAGGTGAAGAAGGGCGGTGTCACAGATGAGATGGTACAGTTGGGTTGGCGCTATGAGATGTACTAGAGAAACACGACGGGAAGTAGGGTGCGAATCGAGGTGGGAAGTCGTAAGTGTAATATCTACTTTTACATGCGCAAACTTGCGGTGGATGACACATACTTCTAAGTGCAAACCAGGTATTGTTGAATTCATGATTTTAAATGAGATGGGGTTTAGACAAGTCGGTTTCGTTGTGAAGGGAAGCCCGCTCAATCCTATCAAAGGGGATTTTTGGGCTGTGGGATTTGTTTTGCGCCTCAACATTTTTCAAATATCTTTACTAATTAGAAATACGATACGCTGTATCTAAAGCTACGGTATAGCCGTTATCGATGGTTTCTAACAGCCGGCTTGGGATCCAATATGTAACAATCCGAACCTTGGAACACTCAGATTGGCTGCCCAATTAGCCGTGAATCAAATTCTAGATCTTCGTTACATTTTTGTCAAAAAGTGTTACTGAGCTCAGTGATTTTATCTTACCTTCTAATATATAAGAATGTAAGTATAACTCGTGAACGCGAGTAATAGAGCTTATTACTCTAATTCATACGAATAGCCCCTCATCCAAGATATTGCCATCCACAAAATGCAACGCTCTAAAAACCGATCGGTATCTAACCAACAGCCATTTGGTATCCAGCTTGGGGTGTAGGGATCCTTCCGTAACGGGTTGAACCACTCGGTAATACTATGGTGTACGGGAGGGGACCGAAAGCAGCTCGTATTCTCACTTTTTGATCATAGGATATATTAAGCCGGCTCCTACGTCTCGCAGATTATATTCACGCAATGTTACTGTTTCTTTCTCTCATTGATTCAATGGTTTCAGGGGGCATTTAAATCTGCCTCTCCCTCGTGAGAGCACACGAAGCGCAGCCAGCTTGGCGCACGATGCGATACCGGGATACGACGCATCCCTCCCGAACAATGTTTCTAGAGCTAAAGCTTTAAGATGCTTACGCTACTTGCGATTTTAGGTACCTAGAATTGACCCCCTCTAACACAGGCGGCTCTACTCATATCAATCTAGGTAGTTTGGATCACGCTGCGAATTTTACGGCATCTAGCTTCGCGGTAACGTGGACCGGGAGTGCTAGGCTTGGGCTTGTGAATGGAAACATCACTATACTGGCTTGATATCTTTGTACTATTTACGATAGAGTTACGCTGGGTCCATCTCTCTGTTTGATCCGGAGTACCAATGTGATAAGTGCTTTGCCCAGGGGTGTCCTACCCTGAAGTTTGTTGGGTGGGTCGTAAACCCAGGAGTGCTAGCAAATGAGATTCAAGTAGTATGCACCTCATGCAGATAGCGAAATATGTCGGTTAGAAATTATGGTACAGGATATTCTCACAAAGCAAAAGTGTATAGTAACTCAAAAGTGCCGTAGACTAATAGCTTGGGTAGAAATTCCAATGCTAGTTGGGAGAGTCGTCAGGGACGGCCCAAAGACGATTCAACGTCTAGTGGTGACTAGGTGCGTTTACTGATGTAGGCGGATTGCATTCACAAGCAGACAATTGAAATCTATTGTATTGCCAGTGCGGGATATATATTTAGTCATAAAAGTACAGACATTCATGACAGGTTACATCGTATAGTGGTTAGTACAATTCGTTGTGGCGAGCCGAAAGGCGCAACAGTACCGAGTAAACGCAGGTTCGATTCCTGCTGTAGCCATTTCTTTAGAATCGTTCACACGTATTGATTCGACTTTTTTTCTTTTATTTTTTCCTTCTCAGTTTTATTTTTTTCCCTTAAATACCATGCTAGTTAGGTTCTACCCTAATACATACTACTACTATCCACTAGGTAGTACTAGGAGTACCAGTGGAGCGGGAACAAGATCTAACTAGCTCTAAATAGGTAAGGGTATATATATAAAGTAAATTAAGTAAGTATACACTGTACAATGTTCTTGTTACAGTTAGAGAAGTACACCTTTTTCTATCACATCGTAATACTCATCCATCTTCATTACCTTAATTAAGGTAAGCAGGGAAGCACTCAATCTACCAAGTAATGCAAAGTTCTGATTACACGTTTGGGGGTGTTCTCAGGCCAATTAACCACCCCCGAACCTTCTTGTACTGTATAGATACTTAGTGTAGATAGGAGATAGGGCTGCAAGGGTACGTCATCTCCCTCCCCACTATCCACCATTCCGCCTGCCAAAAAACCTATTCCCGGCTATAGGGCACTAGGCTAGGTACAAAGGCTCTAAGGCACTAACTAATTTTAGATATTGACACTGAAAGCGAGCAAGACGCTAATAAAGGATAGGTATTTTGAATATCTACATCTTTCGAATCTTTAAAACGATACACATCCGCTGTAATCTACTAATTTTCTCAAATCATGGCACAGAAGGATACAGAAGAACAGGTACGGCTGTACTTCGCCTACGGCTCAAACCTGTCAACGCAGATGCGGGATCGATGTCCGCGTTCTACTCCAATAGGTCTAGCGCATCTCGACGGCTGGGAGGTTAGTAACTTACATAGTAGCATTCCAATTTTATTCTCATCATAGCCTTTTTCAAGAGGAACCGTTTCTCTTTGAGGGTACAATCGTACCTTTTGGAGCCCCAAGTACCTTTAGATCCGTCACTCATCTCAAATGCCGCAGTGGATCATTAACGAACGTGATATGCGAATATCATGCCAAATCAGAGAGGGCGTAAAGCCGAAGCAAATGATGACCCCTCTTCGGACAAGTCACTACAATTTCCGGGCGTCTACGGGCTAGTTTACCGGCTGCACCCCGACGACGAACGGATGCTCGATGTTTACGAAGGGGTAGGCTTTGCGTACGATCGGCAGAGGTTGGAAGTTGTATGGACCACACCCAATGCTTTGCCTGAAATGGAATCCGAAATACTTATGCATGAGATGGGGAAGACACGACCGAAAAGCGAAGCACTCGTTTACGTCGACAGCCACCGCATCACTCCCTCAACTCCCAAGAAAGAGTGTGTCGGCCGAATGAACGTGGGTATTGAGGAGGCAAGGCTACCTGCTTCATATGTGAATGATGTTATTCGTCCATATATCCCCGCCCCTAGTAAACATGCCCGGTAAACATGCGTTTGAAACTAGAAATGGGGTACATCATAGCCGCAAATTCAATACTGCCAGAGAGGAATGAGGACAATAACAACTGGGGTTATCGAGTCGAATTCAGGCTCATGTGTGAATTGGTGACAGTTGGTTGAGCGCCACCATCACTGCTTATTCTTGAAGCTTTGTGGACGGATCAATATTGTCTATTTGTTCTTATCGACACGCCCCTGGCAATACCGTTCCGTTCCAGGTATAGACGCCTGCAGCGATAGATCTTTCTTGCTATAATCATGTAACAAGTATATGAGCATCATTCTACTAGGTTCTAGCAAAGTCGTTGAGTTCGTTCGGCCTTTCGTGGAATCCTCACCAGCTAGAAATCGTAGATACGCCTAGACTAGGCTCTGATATAGCATCAAACAGACAAGTATCAAGGCATAGCTCAACTAAGCAACAGTTTCGATGGGCAATCCGGAGCAGCTATTAAATAGTGAAATTGGAAACCTGAATTGACGGTATCACCCAAGGGGGAAGCAATAAGTTCAGGTGGCATGTCTACTGCCCCAAAGATACTGATAAAGGCCATTATGCACAAGAGGAATTGCCTCTTTACTGAGGCTAAAATTTGCATGAATCTGAAATTTCTGTGACACAGAGTGGCATCGACGATAGAATGCAAGATTTCCCCAGATATACCCAGAATTAGTACTACTGGTCGAAGAAGGTAACGGAAATTAATCTTTGAAGTGGTTCGCAACATAGTCCTGCAAGAAAAGCAGAGAAATTGAGAGTTCTGTAAAAATTGGATAGTCTCTAAAAGTCTTAGAAGGGAAAACATTCGATGTCTCCGTGCTAGGGTCCAACTACTTCGGCTCTTGCTTCGGTATAAGATATAGCTGCTAAATTGGCTGGAATGGCCAAGACGAGCCGAATATTGAAGATCAATATCTTTAAGAGGAACATTTGTAATTTAAAGTTATATCCCAGACCCTTTTAAGTAGCCCTTTGTACATTGATAAATGATTCCACGGGATTACAGGAGGATAATTACGCAGCTTAGCTTCATACAACACACTTCTCGAGACGCGATTGCTACTTTTACTTTTGTATTGTCTCCTCTACTAGGCTATTCTACGTGGATTTACTATAGCTGCTTCGATGTGTAGAATTGCCTGCTATACTAACATTCTCCTAATACACGCCTAAGACCTATCACCTACATGCCCTAGAGTGTACAATAGAAGAGTGGACGATTTGCGTCATGTTCTAGAGATCTTGCTCTCTGAGACCCGAAATCATGTCGACGGTTTCGTATACTAGTCGGGATATTTGTCACAGAACCTTATAGGGACTAGGGACTGTTGGCCCATGATATATACCAACTTAGAAGAGGCCGCTATTATAGACAGAACTTCCCTCTTTGTGACAATATTAGAATAATACTATATATCCCTGCATTTAAAGCCGTATTCTAGAGAGCTAACTGCTATAATTCGACCGCCATAACTAAACCCGCTCGAGCGGAGTTTGCTCCCTGTCGAATGACAATATTCAGTTTTGCGACTATGATCGAGGGGCTAGGCCAGATGATGATACGATAGGCGGTTGCGGTATCAGGGGGTGGGACCGTAGTATCAAAGCACAACACTACTAAAAGTAGAATGCTATCAAGTCCGAGACTTCACTATCTGCGGTCGTTTATATACCCAACGTTGGAGCCGATACACCGTACGTCGTAATTGGGACGTGTGGATCCTTGTGGCATAACCATCCGTGAGGACATACTACGTTGTGGAAGCAAGATGTTAGTCGGGATATGCAGGCCCAGCGCCATGGAAACTGCCGGATGACACGAGGAAATAAAAGAATAAGAGAGGAATAAGAGATTTCAATACGTACTGCAGGTCCACCCTGGAAATAGGAGTTCATGGTAGTGGTGGTAGCTCTGCGGGAGAAAGACCCATTGTTTCATCCATTTCTTGCTTTGGACCCGACCGCTTTTGCCTTGACCACACTCTTCTGTGATTACCGCTAATACTTGGTCTATTTCGACTCGGTTGGTGGAGTCATGACCACGCTTATGGTTGCAGATAGTCAGGCTCACTCCCTCGAAGGAATGTTCTGGGACTTCCACCTGGACATACCATCCCGCCTTTATCCCATGTTTCTCTACCCTTTTAAGCAATATACCCTTAGCGGTCTCGAATTCGCGTGGTAAATCTTCATCGTGGCAATACACGTGTGATAGGGGTATGAGCCCTGTCGCAGTGACGTTGGACAGGGGTTCGTTCAAATTTATGGCAGAAACGGCCAAAAACACGCTCTGCGCGCTCAGAAGAAATGGGATACGCATTTCCGGTCTAGTCCAGGAGTGTGGGTGCGGGTGTGCTGTTCAGTGAATGTTTACCTGGATATCGTGATACGGGTAAAGTAGAAGGAAAGAAACTAACGAGAAAAGAGCTCTTGGCCCTTAATGGCGCCGCCCAGCATTGGTTAAAGCTGGAATAATAACTGTAACGTGTCCACGGCCTTTACGTACACCTAACGCTTAGGTTTTCCCCCTCCTGAGGGTTATGCTCTCGGCCTACGAGTGGATAATTCAACTAGTGATAGTAGATCGCTTTATAGTTCTACGTCTATTAAGTTCAACGTGATTTATACTTCTAAGCGTAAATAAAAGCTAGATGGAAGTTCGTGATATAGTTGCTGTTGGTGAGAAAGTAGCTCAGAAGGCGATTCGACGGCTTTTATATACGGAAGAGAGCTGTTGGTGATTTAAATGATTGGTTAATATCACTCTTATCGAAGCCATAGCCACACTCACCCATTTGTCGAAGCGGCACTCCTCCAGAGCCTTGGACATTCTTTCGCTCTAGCCTTCGTTGCAAATTCTTCCGCACCCGAAGCCAAGGTGTCATAACCTGAGATGATTATCGGGTAATCCGTCACGCTAATATGAAGAGGGGTAAGATGCGCGGGTCTCGGGTTGATAACCGCCCCAGAAGAGCCGCGTCTAAAACAGCGGTGCGCGTCCACCCCTAGGGCCTTCAACGCGCATTCCGGAACCCCCACCATGCTGACTGACCGACGGGTAAAACGCGATTAGGCTCCGAGGCTTATCAGCGGGGGATAGCATCGGCGCAGCTAGCGCAAGCATGCCACCAGAGAAAGATCCGGAGAGGGAGATATGGGAGACGTCATATATCTCTAGGCACGATTAGGCGTAGCGCACAGGATCCTCAACATCATCGCGAGTAGCCAGCGGGGGACTTTCGGGACCTGGCCGATAATCGACGTCAAAAATAACATGTCCAGTTCGCCGAGAGACCTCGAGGTAGAGTAGGTCGTCGGCACCGAAGAGGAGAAGCGCGACACCAGACCGGAAGCAATTGATCAGCAGGGGTCGTGCGATTGCAACGCTTCATTTGGGCCATTGGTGGACGTTACAGGGGACGGCGAGTAAAGTGCACCCACATAGCATGCCCCGACTCCCGTGAGGGGACTCTGCTGTAAGCACCGCTTCTGGTTCCGCCTGCACATGAGGGGGGGTCAGAAGGTGAATAATCAATTGGGTCGAGTAAAGCGGTATTTTAAGGCGGAGACTATAGGGAGCTGCGA